ATAGCCAACCTGCCTGCATACCGTCAACCGGGGCTACTTGGGATGGGCAGGGTAACTCGGGACAGTTCTCCGACACAGCGTAAAACTGTTTTAGTAGCAAAACTAATTCAAATATTGCAAAACTAAATATAGTGGTGTAAAAGTCAACATTTTTCCTATCTATGTACCTAGTATGAAGGAAGTTCAAAAATACTACATTCACTAGCTTTGAAAAATTCCTGAAAAAATGGTGAAAAACGATATTTTGAAAAGTTACTTCTGCTAAGGTCTGTAGTAAAAAAAACGTATTAAAAAATTTTATCTACATAAAAGTTGCACCCAGGTGTCGGCTTGAAAACGTAATCGACAGATTTTGCCTATCTCATTCCAAAAAAATGGCGGTCATTTCCGCACGGCAGGGCTACTCGGGACACCCCCCCGGGGCTATTCGGGACACCCCCAAAAATGCATTTCCAGTAATGCCTCAGTAAGCAAAGGCTCCAGTTAAGAAAAAAAATTGATTAAAAACAAAGAATATTGATTACATTTACCTCGCTTGGCAAAAAAATTCACTTATCTAAAAATTAGTCCATCATTGGTCATCACAAAAATGTGCATAGAATGTCATATATAGAATTGTGCACCAGGCATCAGAATGAAAAGTAATTGACCTGAACTATGATTTATTTCTGCAAAACATATGATGGTTGTCACTAAAACATTCCTTTCTGTTTCAGGTATGTTTTTCATGATCTTTCCTTTATAGTAAATTCACTTAACCCAATTAAAATGGTGTGTGATTACAAGCCCTCCTGTAAGCTTACAGATACAGTAAAATGCTATAAGGCTGCTGATATGAAGCTTGCCGTGGACAAGGTTGTTGTAAATGCTCAATGGCATGTTCATGGATACAGTAATATTGCATCAATAATACTGTAATATCGCATCAATAATACGGTAATCAATGTATATGGTAAAAATAACAGTAATCAATAAAGGTAATACGGTAATCAATAAAGGAAAAACGAGTAAAAATCACAGAAAATGTCATTTATTCTACCTCTATATCATCTACAATGAAAGGAGAGGACTTGAGAGTACTGTTAGTAATGGATGAGCACACTCTGCATGCTTCAAATACAGGGTTGGCAATGATTAAATCAAAATGATTAAATCATGTGATTAAATCACTTGATTTTTTTATAAAAAAATCATGATTTTTTTTCGATTTTTTTTTATTTTTTCATATAATTAAATATATTGAGTGGCAGTCTTTAATTTATATGGAGGTATTGTTATTCATGGTTTAGTATAAATGTACTATGAATGACAAATTGGTATATAAACTTGTTGCCTTTAGTGTGTATTAGGTTCCAATAAATTGAATGTTTTTGGTACAGAGGCATCAAGTGTGCAATACATTGTACGTAGCTAGCAGCTTAGTTATTTCTTATAAGGCAATAAGTAGTCTTTACCTATTTGACTATTTGTTATATATTGATTACAATATACAATTTAAATGTGTTAGCTAGCTTATACAGGGTGGGGCAGAACTGATTGAACAGTTTTGAGGCAAAATAAAAGAGTAATGGAGTTACATAAAGAAGAAAGTTTATTTTCCTCAAGATTAGCATAACATACCATTTAAAATACTTATGTTTTGAAAACAATATCAGGAAGATGGGGTTTGTAAGTTGCATCATGCTGTTGGAGTTGTTCTCGGAAGTTTTTTACAGCACGTTCACACATATGGCGAGGTATGGCCATAGCCTCTGCTGCAATAATCCATTCCCTTAGCTGTGGTAGGGTGTGAAGGCAACTTTTGAACCCCTTTCTTTTAGATGTCCCCAAAGAAAGAAATTGCAAATGCTCAAATCAGGTGACCTTGCAGGCCACTGCAAATCGCTCCTCAGAGTCTGGGAACATGCATTTCAAAACATTGGGTGACATTTGGGCTGTGTGAGCTGTAGCCCCATCATGCTGAAACCACATGTCTCCCAATGCTTCATTTTCAACAATGTTTTCCATCATGGGCTGCAAGAAATTTTGCAACATTGCAGCATAGCAATTGGAATTCACTGTTAGGGTTACTCCCTCCTCTGAGAACGACTCCAACAGTGTGTTGCAGCTAACGGCCCTCATCTTCCAGATATTGTTTTCAAAACATAAGTACGGTATTCTAAATGATATGTTATGCTAACCTCTAGGATAATAAACTTTCTTCTTTATGTTTCTCCATTATTCTTTTATTTTACCTCAAAACTGCTCAATTGGCTCTGCCCCACCCTGTATATATAGAGGTTGAGATTGTATTGACCTTTTAGGCAATTAAAAAGATTTTCCACCCTAATACGAGTACTCTAATTAAAATATTTAATTTCAATCTTTAAATATGTGAATTTAAAACTAGAAACAAAACAATTACAATTATAAGACTATTTATAAAATAATTAAATGCAGTGAATGGATATAAAATATTTGAATTGTGCACATGTTTATTTCAAACAGTGTTAGCTTTTCTCATAACTATATATAAAATAATTAAATGCAGTGAATGGATATAAAATATTTGAATTGTGCACATGTTTATTTCAAACAGTGTTAGCTTTTCTCATAACTTAAATCTCATTTCAAGTTGTATGAGGTTTGTTTGGTTATCATTCAGTTTATGTTTAGTATTGTTTTATTGGTCTGAATTAAATGGGAACAGTGCAGTCAGTCACTCAGTCACTACTAGTCAGTGTATATAGAGGGTAGAGTCTGGTAGATTATAGGACATAAAACTAGTAGATCTATTGATAGTGCTGTGCACTGTGCTATCAGCTACCTATCTGTTATGTGACTCTTCAGTGTTTAGAAGATCTGCATTCCTGAAGTGTTTTTGTATAATGAAGCCAGTTAAATGGTCAATATTTAGCTCATTACTGGTACCTTGCTCCATACAAACTTTACAAAGCTAATGAATAAACTTTTCAATAATCATTTACCCAAAAATCCCTAAGTGGTAAACACCACCTTCGCCTGTTGGCCATTATTAAAGGCAATAAGTGCCCTTTTTAGCCATCCATTATGATCCATATACTGTTATTGTTAGTAGGCTAATTTCAACATAAAAAATGACACTTCAAAAAGACAAAAAAGCTGAAAAAATAAAAAAAATCAAATAAATAAAAAAAAATATGAAAAAATAAAAAAAAATCATTGATTTTTTATTTTTTTTTTTATTTTTTTTAAATAAAAAAAATCACCAACCCTGTTCAAATATTTTAAAATGAAGTTTTATTCCAAGTGTCCCAAGTAGCCCTGTTTGGTTGGGCTACTCGGGACACTTTTTTTGCTTCTGGCACCTTACGAATAGCACATGGAATTTTTTTGAAGATGCCATTCGATAGCCCTTGCAAAGAGCTATAAAAGGAGCCTAAACTTATTTATGAAATTTTTATGGTAAGAAGTTATTAACAAAAACGCTCAAAACCGTCCCGAGTAGCCCCAGTTGACGGTACTCCTCTATTACTAACAGTGCTCTGAAGTCCTCCTCTTCCTTTGTAGATACAATGTAAATGTAGAATAAATGAAATTTTCTGTCATTTTTACTTGGTTTTTCTTCATTGATATAATAATACCTTATCCATACATTACCGTATTGTTAATGTGATATTACTGTATCCATGGACATGCCATTGAGCATTGACAACGACATTGTCCACTGCAAGCTTCATATCAGCGGCCATGTAGCATTTCTTCTGTATCTGTAAGCTTTTACAGGAACTTTTACACAATTTTAATCAAGTCAAGTGATTTCACTATAACAAAAAAGATTGTAAAAAACATACTTGCAACAGGAAGGAATATTTTAGTGACAACCATCATATTTTTTGGAGAAATAAATCATAGTTTAGGTTAATTACTTTTCATTCTTTGTTGCCCAGTGCTCAATTCTATCTATGAAATTCTATGCACCATTTTGTGATGACTGATGCAGTAATTTTTTATTAAGTGAAATTTTTTTACTGAGCGAGGTAAATGTAATCAAAATTCTTTGTTGGTAATTGATTTTTCATTGACTGGAGCCTTTGCAAACCAAGGTTCTACTGTAAATGCAATTTTAGGGTGTGTCCCTTATTACCCCAGGGGGGGTGTTCCTTATTCCCCGTTTTGTGGAAATGGCCACCATTTTTTCTTGGGATGAGATATGCAAATTCTGTCAATCATGTTTTTAAGCCAACACTAGTGTGCAACTTTTATGTAAGTAAAATTTTTCAATACGAAAAATATTTTTTCTGCTACAGTCTCTACAGACCTTAGCAGAGGTATGGTACTTTTCCAAAATCTCACTTGTCACACTTTTTCAGGGATTTTTTAGAGGTAATAAATGTATGATTTCTCAACTTGCTTTATGTTGCATAGATAGTAAAAATGTTGAACTTTACACCACTATTTTTAGTTTTGCAATATTTTAATTAGTTTAGCTGCTACAACATTTCTACAAAAATGTTGGAGGACTGTCCCTTTTTACCCCGTTTTACGGTACCTAATTTATTCAGAGTTGAGTCAAATCAAGCCCAGCCAAGTCAAGTTGAACCCAGCCAAGTCAAGTTGAGCCCAGTTGAGTGGACAGTGGAGCCCAGGCGAGTCGAGTCAAGTCATTTATTTTGAGCACTGATACAACCTGTTATATCTAACTTAACTAACTAAAACTTGTGTGAAACTAACTTGCACTTGGAACTCTGTCCTAAACAGTTTTAACTCCAAAGATGCTCCAGGCTGGCAGTAGCTCCAGGCTAGGCTGCAGTAACTTGTACAACCCCATGTGAGGCATTGATTAGGGCATGGGTATTACAATTAACTGGGCTGGGATTGCACTGTCAATCTGGTGATCTCTAAACCCAATTCTCAATTTCGTATCTCCTATGCCTATTCTGTAACATTTGGCCATGTTATCATGAACTATGTTCTTTTATTTTATTCGTTTTCTGTCTCCAATTTATTTATTATTTTTGTTTTTTGTTATTTTTCATTTGTTATAGTTCTTTTGCTGTTATTATTCATCTTGTTATTTAGTATTTTTTTACCAGATTTGCATATTTCCAGACTTTCAGATGTTATATGACTATTAGGTATATACTAAGCCCTGTTTTGGCAAAAGCTGCATGGAGCATTATCCAGTGTTCCTATAAGAAAAAACAATAACAATAATAATTGTTTGGCTTGATAGGGGGCATCAAGAACAACTTTTAAAATGGAAGCTAAAAGCAACATACGGCACATGACAGCTGATGAGACTGGAGATGATGACCAAATCAATGAAGCGTTGTCTGGTAGTCAAGCTGATTCATTAGAGTCCCTGCTAATCAGTCCTCAAACAGGTGAGTTCTCCAAGGCTGACCGTTCTGGATAGAATGGCAGATATGATATTGGCATGATAAACCTAACATTAAACTTCTAATAAAAATCATCTAATATTTTGGAACTGATTAAGTTACCAGGCTAAATTTATCTTAAAAATACCAGTAGCTATATATAAGCCACTATATCTACTGTCAATGCGACATAATTTGCCACTCACTGGCCCTCAGGAGGATGTGCATACCTAGCTACTTGTCACTAAAAACCATATAATGCTTGTCAGAACTCTGAATTCTAGGGTTCATTTTCTACATAATAGCCAAAAGTCTGTTTCAATGATTGTGCTAGAAAGATGTAGTTCATAACTCCAACTTTCATGTTTGTGTTGAAGGCTGATGACTTCGTTGCTGCTGGCAAAGTTACTGGCATTGATGGTAGAATTCCGCAATCCACCTTGATTTCTTTACCGTCAAGTATCAATGCCATATAAGTTGCCAGTTTGTCACTCAGCAGAAACTGCACAAATCTTGCTGCTTGTCACAAAAACCATATAATACTGGTCAGAAGTCAGAAATAAGATAATGATTTGTAGGGTTTGGTTGCCACATATTGAATGAGAAACTGTTTTTTTTTTTGCGCTGGAAAGATTTTGTTTCATTTTGTTTATAAAACAGGTATTTTTTTGAGTCCAGCAAATTTAGGGCTGCTTGCAAGGTACCAGTAATTGTTATTTATGGACCACCTAAAACATTAAAACATACCTTGGTAGTATAATATGTGCTTCAATCAAGGACTACTACACACAGGACATGCATAGCCTATGTCCAGCCTCTGCTAGCAGAGGCGATCGCCTACACTATGAAAATGCTGGTGTTTTAGTGGCATCAACAAATGATATGCCCATAATTGTTTCATACAATAGTATTACAATGTGTGTAGTAGTCCTTGGTCATAAGGACTACTACACACATTGTAATACTATTGTATGAAACAATTATGGGCATATCATTTGTTGATGCCACTAAAACAACAGCATTTTCATAGTGTAGGCGATCGCCTCTGCTAGCAGAGGCTGGACATATGCTATGCATGTCCTGTGTGTAGTAGTCCTTGGCTTCAATATTAATCTTTCCTAACCTGTTGGCAAATGGAGTAACTATAGTGACAGCTTAGCCTCACTGACAGATTCTTTCTGCTCCTTCTGGATAATAAAATGAAAGAGCCTTTTCTGGATACTATACGGTATACCATACCTATACTTAAGCTTTTAATTTTTTCTAAAATATTTTTTTAGTTTATGAAACATGTCTTCACAATGTTTTATGACCTATTCCTTTTTTTATACACCAGCTGAGCTGCTAGTTTTTCACTACTGTCAATGTTACACTAGTACTGTTGTGTGTCAATGCTGATAACCTAGCTACTGCTCTTGAGTCACCAGCCTTCAATAGAGACAAAAAACAGCTTTGTATTCATTGTTTAGTAATTAAATATTATAAATTATAGTTCTGATGAGTATTATATGGTTTTTAGCAATTCAAGGCAAGGTAAGTGCAATAACTATGGAATGGTGACCTATGCCCTTAATGTTGGGTGACCAGGAACCCTCATCCTACTCACATTTTTCAAAACTATATAAAAAATCTGAATGTTGCGGAAGAATTTATGAAGAACTAGAATGACTTTATGTTCCAAAATCCTTTCCAGTTTTGGCTGAGAACCCTGGCATCAGTGTGATAAGTGCAGCATTGCTCATCACAAATGCAGCTCTTGGTGCAGGTTTACTCAACTTTCCCTTGGCTTTCCATGAGTCAGGAGGTCTTGTACCTGGAAATTTTGTGCACCTGGTGAGTGATGCCATAGTATATACTTCGGTTAAAGTCATCATGGAGTTTTGAATATTAATGTCAATATATTATGTCATATTACTTGATAGATGATATTAGTTATGTATAAGTTGCATAATGTATATGCATAGGTACCTATATATTTTATTTGCTATCTGAAAGGCGGTTGAATGTTATTAATTTTGCCAATACCGTTACAAGTATTCCTCAATTTTTCCCTGATGTAGAATAAAATATTCTGCTGTGTATTAATAAATTTACTGAAATCTGTTGTTTTATGTCATGAATTAGAATCTAAATAGACAGAGAAGACAGATTCAGACAATGTTGTCTGTCATCTTGTCTGTGAGCTGAGGTATTTCCATCTTTTGTACATTTGTGATGTTGTAGATTTATTTTTGATGTTACAGTAGGAAACTATAAATGTTATATTGCAAACAAAATATCCATTTTGATTGTATAAATATTTCTTTACCAAAATAGCTTTAATCATTCTTTCTTGGCAGTTTTTTGTTCTGGCAACGGCTGGGTCCCTGTACATCCTAGCAATGACCGCTGACAGATTCAAGAGCCGGACTTATCAGGAGGTGAGTTAGCTTTCTGTCTAATTTTTCTACCTTCCTATCTAATTTTTAACCTCCAGTTGAACAAACAACCTTGAAAACATTTCCTGTGACTTCTATGCAATTTTTGGACCATCAGGAACCTAATGAGAGTGGAGTGTTTAATAAAGTACATTTGGGTTTAAGCAAGAAGTGTATATAGGTAACTATCACTTGAAAATAATTGATCCCAATGTTTAATTGCTATCATGAATAATTCCTAATCTCTGACACTTAAAACTGCACGGTTACCATTGAGAAGTTACTTTTACAGTATTTTGTACTTTAAATGCAAAAAAGGTCCAAAAATTTATTTCCTGTCTAAATAAATGCATTAATTGTCTGTGTTATTGAGTGAAATAAAGTCTTCTTTAAAAACAAATATTTTATTCTACAAGATTTACCAATTGACAGATAAAGACTTGTATGCAATTGTAACTGCTACAAATGTATATAATGAATCATAATTTCTTCTTTTATTGTTATTTAATAATACCATTTGATAATTCTTTGAACTAATTCAACCTATATAGGTACATATATAAGTTTGCTATACAGAACTCCTTTTCTTCAATATGGAATTTTGTCATAACAGATCTTCATTCACTATAATTCATAGTTGCTATATCTGATTGAAATCACATGATGCAGATGGTGAGTGATCAGTGTGGAGTATGGGCTGGTCATTTTGCTTCAGCCTGCATTGCTCTCTATTGTCTCATCACATGCATCACTTTCATCATCATTGTAGGCGACCAGACTGACAGATGTGAGTTAAGGCACTATGAATCGTTCAGTATGTAAAAGTAAAATATATATTCAATCAGTGTTTTTCTATATTGTTATACCTACCACATCTAGTGGCTCATGAGTCTGTAGTGTAGTAGACTATAGCCTGTATTAACTTATGTAGGTGGATGCAAAAAATTTGGAACACTACAAAATGTCTTTGAATTATATTCATTAATGTAAAGGCAATCAATACTTCTATTAGTCATCTTATTCCATTATTTTACTTCTAATTTATGGCCTGTACCTACTGCTTTTTTTTATTTTCAATAAGACAACATTGTTTTACGGTAATTGCATTTTTGGCTATGTTTATGAGACAGGTATTAGTTGCACCATTGTTTTATGTTCCTATACCCTCTACAAACAAATATTGCACATGACATTTAGCTGACTTTAGAAAAATATGCACGAGTGGAAAAATTGCCGGTTTTCAATGTTTTTATTTTGGATTGTTTTCAGTTTTTGCAGACTTTGTGGGTCCAAACTTCTGTGAGAGCTGGTGGCTCCAACGCCGCTTCACCATGTCCCTGGCTGGTGTTGCTGTGCTGGCGCTGTCGCTCTTCAGAGATATGGCAAAACTTGTCTCCATGGGGTAAATGTGCTAGAGTTATACTGGCTTCAGTGTTGCCGCACCATTACAGAACTTGTCTCCATGGAGTACATGAGTACAAGTTATGTTAGCTTCAGTGTTGCCGCACCATTACAGAACTTGTCTCCATAGAGTACATGAGTACAAGTTATGTTAGCTTCAGTGTTGCCGCACCATTACAGAACTTGCCTCCATGGGGTACACTAGTACAAGTTATACTGGCTTCCGTGTTGCCGCACCATTACACAACTTGTCTCCATGTAGTAAACGTGTTTAAGTTATACTGGCTTCAGTGTTGCCACACCATTACAGAACTTGTCTCCATGGGGTACACTAGTATAAGTTATTCTGGCTTCAGTGTTGCCGCACCATTACAGAACTTGTCTCCATGCGGTACACGAAGTATACGGTCCAAGAGACTAATTTGTGCCGTTCATGAGTTCGTTTTCATCTTTGTTTTATTAAATAAATCAAAATGGTCAATAATTCTACTTTATGAATCTTATTTGGTTGCTGCAATTTTCATGCAGTTAATATCTAATGAACAGTGAATGTATATTTAAAAGCATTAATTTTTTTCAATTACTGAATTGCATCGATAAAAAAAGGTGAAAAAACATAATATTTTTTGTAAATTCTATTGTAAAGCTTCATATTAATACATTTTTGTTTTTTTTGCATGACTATTTTACTTGAAAGTCACAGTTAAGTAAGTTGTATTTTATAGCCAAATTGTCATGTAGTTATTTTTGTTGAACATAAAGAAGCATGAAACATTAAATGTATTTTCTGTAATATCCGTACTTTGACCAGATATCTGGGGAGCGTTTTCATGGTGTACCTTGTGGTGGTGGTCGTTGTAGTGTGGAGGATTGGTGGCTACCAACCAGGTGAAGTGGTTGTGTTTGACAAGCACAAAATGCTGCATCTCTTCAACGTACTCCCTACCATCTGCTTCGGCTACCAGTGCCACGTGAGCAGCGTACCAATCTACCACAGCATTCGTGATCGATCCAAGAGCAAGTACTTCATGGTTAGTATCTTGCTTCATTTCTCTGAAAATCTCTCCCTTTTATATTAATGTTAGTCTCCAGACAAAGTTCTTCCTAGTTCCCCTTTGATTAATTATTAGTTTACTCCTGCAAAGGTTGCAGTCATCAATCAAAATGACTTGTATTTTTGTCTGATTGCTTTTGAGCAAATGGACTGTACACTTTGAAATTATCAAATGTGAGCCCATTACTAGGGCATATGCTAAAAAGTTTTCTGTCATCTAGTATTAATTGCTTTTACTTATTCTTGCAGGTGCATTATATGTTAACAATAATACCCAGAAGATTTAATCTTATTTCCAATCACCAGACCGTGTTTGTCATGTATGATTAAATCTTAATTTATCACAATATCTCACGAATTCCTCCCAGCATTGCTGAATATCACTTATTTCCCCTGAATTCATAAAATACATAATTTTTTTTTTACTTTGGAAAATGCTGTTATGATTTAACCCTCTACCGCCATATGTCACTCTCCCAGAACATAACTTCCAACTTGATTTATACGTAAACTATTGCGTGTAGCAACCTGAGGACGTTTGTACGCAGCATAGACCATTTTAAAGTTGTCGTACGTGGCGGCAACCATCAGTGCAAGTCATTTTGCTCCCACTACAATGTATCCTTTTTGGGAAGTAGGCTTGTGACAATATTGCTCCGGTTACTCATGTCAGGTGGTAGAGGGTTAATTTTACACTATTTTTCAATGTGAATTTAACTTATTCCCAAAAGTCTAGGCACTTCTCTCCCTTCACTTATTTCAAATTGATTTGCTCCTTTTTTTCGGTTGATTTACCTAAAATATTTCATCAAAAGTTCCATAGTAGTATGTTTTTCCATATTCTATTTGAGGAATTTCAGTCAATAAGCAAATGTGATTATCACAAATATTTAATATAATGTTAAACATACAGTTTATGTAGGGCCAACACCATTTGGTTATTAATACCTTTATGAAGTTGATTTCTGTATTAATTGTGTGACATGGTGACCAAGTGATGTGCTGCCTGTTGATGATGACAAGTGATGTTCTGCCTGTTGATGATGACAAGTGATGTGCTGCCTGTTGATGATGACAATAATTGATGTGCTGCCTGTTGATGATGACAAGTGATGTTCTGCCTGTTGATGATGACCAATTGATGTGCTGCCTGTTGATGATGACCAATTGATGTGCTGCCTGTTGATGGTGACCAAGTGATGTGCTGCCTGTTGATGATGACCAAGTGATGTGCTGCCTGTTGATGGTGACCAAGTGATGTGCTGCCTGTTGATGATGACCAAGTGATGTTCTGCCTGTTGATGATGACAAGTGATGTGCTGCCTGTTGATGATGACCAATTGATGTACTGCCTGTTGATGGTGACCAAGTGATGTGCTGCCTGTTGATGGTGACCAAGTGATGTGCTGCCTGTTGATGGTGACCAAGTGATGTGCTGCCTGTTGATGGTGACCAAGTGATGTGCTGCCTGTTGATGGTGACCAAGTGATGTGCTGCCTGTTGATGGTGACCAAGTGATGTGCTGCCTGTTGATGGTGACCAATTGATGTGCTGCATTCACTCCCCGCCATTGATATCTTCTATAAATACTAATAGCAGCTTGCTTATGAATTCAGCCATCAACATCTTGATGAACCCTATTGATAAACCTAATATTTTACCCAGTAAATGTTGGCATTGATTATATTGCAGTTATGGTATCAGAGGCATGTATTCCCATTGACCATAATATGCCTCTTTAATTTTCCATAAGTTTAAGCGAGCCTGGCTTCCATCAGGCGTGCACGCTGGCCATGGCGGCCTGCGCGCTGGTCTACTCACTGGCCGCCAACGTCGGCTACCTCACCTTCGGCTCTACCGTCGCCGACGACCTCCTGCTCAGCTACGACAACGACCATCGCGGCGCTGTCGCGGTGCGTCTTGCTGTCTTGTTGCCTTGCTGTCTTGTTGTCTTACTGCTGTCTTGTTGTCTTACTACTGTCTTGTTGCCTTGCTGTCTTGTAGTCTTACTGCTGTCTTGTTGTCTTACTACTGTCTTGTTGCCTTGCNGCTTGTACCTGTGTTCTAGGTTTTGAACTGACGATGGAGCTGGACTCCGAAACGTTTTCTCTTATAAGAAATGGTGAAATTTTTGGCTATTTTCTTTGCTTTTAAATTCCTGGTAAATTTGCGACTTAAGCAGCCAAGTGATTTTAATGCTGTCTTGTCTGACTGGCTTGTTGTCTTACTGCTGTCTTGTTGTCTTACTGGTGTCTTGTTGTCTTACTGCTGTCTTGTAGTCTTACTGCTGTCTTGTAGTCTTACTGTTGTCTTACTGTTGTCTTACTGTTGTCTTCTTGTCTTACTGGTGTCTTGTTGCCTTACTTTTGTCTTGTTGTCTTACTGCTGTCTTGTAGGCTTACTGCTATCTTGATGTCTCTGATGTCATGATCGTGCATCAGGTGGCCCAAATGAGGGCGGATGAGCGATAATCAGAGGCGGCGATCCATCGTGGCCTGGGACTGCTATGTCCCAAACAAATACTAAGGATCTAACAGCTGTCTTGTTGGCTTGCTGCTGTCTTGTCGCCTTGCTGTCTTGTCGTCTTACTGTCTTGTTCTCTTACTGTCTTGTCGTCTTACTGTCTTGTCTTGTTGTCTTACTATCTTGTTGTCTTACTGTCTTGTTGTCTTACTGCTGTCTTGTTGTCTTACTATCTTGTATTCTTACTGCTGTCTTACTGTCTTGTTGTCTTACTGTCTTGTTGTCTTACTGTCTTGTTGTCTTACTGTCTTGTTGTCTTACTGTCTTGTTGTCTTACTGTCTTGTTGTCTTACTATCTTGTTGTCTTACTGTCATGTTGTCTTACTGCTGTCTTAATGTCTTACTGCTGTCATGTCCAGCTGCTATCTTGTCTTCTCTCGTCATATTGTTATCTTTCAGCTATACTAATATTGGCTGTGTGAATGATAAGTGACTGCATAGAAGGCACAGGGCTTGGTATAACTATACTGCTCTTTATGAAATCGTACAAGTCAAGTCGATTTTATTTTCTTGGTTTGATGCTATTTTGTTGCCTAACTATTGCATTTGAAGTTATATGTGGTCAAATATTTCATTATATTTTTTATACGAAATAATCACGAGGCTATGGCTATTTAATATGGGTTAAATTAGTAGACACACTATGAGCTTGTAAGACTTTATAAAAACTACTTAGAGAACATCCAGGTAATATTTACTGCGATACAATATCAGGAAGAACTATTTTATTAGCGGCGTTTCCCAAATTCGAAATCAGCACCAGAATAGCTGGGTGATGAGCTGCAGGTTAATTAAGTATTTGGTGTAGTAAAATAATTGTTGATTTACCAATTTTTGTTGTTGTTGTTGTTGTTGTGGTTCCCCGGTCTCAATTTTACAAGAGACCCCCCTCGCGCAAGTACGACACCACCGACAGGGGGTCGCTCCAGAGCTGTAAGGTCGAGGTTATGTGGTGGTGTTGTCTTAGGTCCTGCCAGAGCGGACATTCCAGGAGAATGTGAGTGATTGTGTGGGGAGCTCTCTGGCAGGATGGGCAGGTGTCTGTGTCTGCTTGGCCTATTCTGTTTGCGTATGTTTGTAGTGAAGGGTGGTGGCCGCAGCGAAGCCTGGCTAGGTGTACTCTCTCCAGTCTGGAGAGCTGTGTTTCTGTGCTGCTTATGTCAGGTGGTGGGTGTCCAAGGACTTTGTTATTGCCGGCCAGCTCCAGCGTTCTAAGTGTCATAATTGTGTGTAAGTGTTTTTTTATGTTGTCTGTATTGGTGGTGATTGCTGCGTGGGTGTGTTCTTGTTTGCTGTTTGAGTTGTGTAAGCTGCGTATAGTTCTGTAAAGCTGTGTGATGTTGGATTTGTGGTCCAGTGTATCCAGGAACTCGAGCCAGGCCCGTTGCTGTTGCTCTGTAATTTTGCAGATTGTAATTGTAAATGGTTGCAGGTAAGCGTTGCGGTCATCGCGTTGGCGCTCAAGTCCATCGCGACTTACCCCGTCCTCATGTTCTGCGTCAGGTGACTTAACTTTAGGCATCACTTGTCTAAAAATCAATTTATTATTGATTTCGAGTTTTTCATCTGTTATGATACTCAAGCTTATATTTTGGAAAAGTATTTAGTTTTTTATGTTTCTAGATTTTCAAACTTTGTTTCGATATCAAGTAGATAAGAATGGTTTAATTGAAAAAAAATATAACTCAGTACTCACAGCAGTGAGTGACCGAGAGCGCATTTTCTCGTCGACGAAAATTTGAGGTATCGGACGGACGGACAGACAGACAGACAGACATGGCGAGCACAATAGTGCATTTTTTCCATAAATGAGAAAATGCGCTAAAAAGAAAGGAAGCATTTAAACTTGTTACAGTCCAATTGAGCACAACTTTTACTCACCAGATGGCTGTATGATATTCAGAATATACAGTATTCTATTGATCGAGATGACGATTGATGATATTGATGATTTATAATATTGACGATTGATAATATTGATGATTGATGATATTGATTTAGATGATATTTGATGTGATTACGTCGTGTAGGGAAGCTGTGGTGAGCTTCTATGTGAGTGCCCGCGACCTTTCCCCAGCCGACGCTCAGCGCACGGAGCCCGTCAGGAGATACGTATGTTCATCATCACCATTTGGACGCCTTTTGTGACACATTAAATCGTTATTAATACTGAGCTTATCCGTACCAGTGAGGATTATAATTAGGAATCGTGCATACCATTCAGCCATGATTTCTATATACGCGTGTTTATTTATTAGGAACATCATGAGCAATTCTATAACGCAGTTTTAGGTAAGTATTTATAAGTCTCTTCGTCATTAGTTGCTTGTCGTCCTCGAACCATTGAACCATTTATTTAGCCAGGTAAATTCCTCGTGTAGCACTCGTCAATGATGAAATTCGCCGATATTTAAACTTTGAAAATGTAATTCTGTATCATTTCAGCAATTATACGCTCAACATTTATTGGTTTTTGTCGGGTTCATTATTTCTTAAGAGCAGTAAAGGTACTTTACTTTAAGTAGTATGATTACTTTAGTCACTTGATAAAAATGAATAACCTCTTCCCATTACAAACGCTCACTTGATTACCTCTTGAGATTAGCATGTTACTGGGGTGGCAGTTTTATCATCGTACGATTTGGGCTGTTTGAAGCAACTGATTCACTCAACTGATACCATTTATGGTATCACAATTTGCGAATGATATCTTTGACAACTGACACTATTCACAACTGACACCATTCGCAGCTGGCACCATTCTCAAATATTAATGTATGTACATATATCACTGCTACTGTGTATGACTTGTAATATGCACAACTGTTACCATGTACTCCACTCCACTGGACAGGTTGTGGTGGTGCTGCTGTGGTTAGTTAGTCTCGGTGCAGCCCTGCTTGCGGAGAGCATCGCTTCTGTCGTCAAACTCCTCGGATCCCTGGCATCTTTCTTCATATTCATCCTCCCTGGTGACGTCAAGTCATAATATAGCGATCAAATAATCCTAGGTTTTAGGTTAAGAATTTATTTTAATGCCGGAAAAATGCCCAATTCTTAGGAGTGGAGAAATAGTGGTGCTGCTTAAGTATCGGACTAACGAAGTAAGTTTGAACTAATAGCAATTTTTTTAAATGGTTCTAATTGATTTTCGCGCTATTTTCCTCGGTATTATTGTTGTAAGAACTAATAGCAATTTTTAAAAATGGTTCTAATTGTTTTCGCGCTATTTTACTTGGTATTGTTGATGTAATAATGATCATTATTATGATATCATCAATGCTACGTGTGTGCAGGCCTCTGCTTGCTGGCGGAGAGCAACAGAATGTCTGACGAAAGAACAGCATCAGGCCCGACCCCCCACATTCTCCAGGGCGTGCGACACGCGTCCTCGTGGGGTACGACTCAGGTGTTATTCGCGCGCATCGTGGCGCTCACCTTCATCTCGCTGGGGGTGTTCACGTTCGGGCTGTCCGTCACCATGGCGGGTATGAGCGCCTTCTCCTCCAGCAGCAGCAGCGCACCTCTGTGTGTCGTAGGCGACAACTCAAGTTACTCGTCCATAGATGTGCTCGAGCGTTATAGGTTCAGCTGGCTGCCTAGTTATCCATATTAAATTATTCTTACAATTTACTATGTTTCTAAGGCAAATTGCTACTACGAATTTTACGTTTTTAATTCGAAGTGTCAATGGATTATTAGTATATACAATAACTCCTCAACGATCATTTTTCAAACTTTTATAAGTTAAGTTGTAATTTTTTTTCTCGCCTCTGAAAAGCGTAAAAGCACCAATTGAAAACATTTTCAAATGATTTTATTTTCAACAATTGCTTGTGGAATTCATCTTCATGTCAATAAACGATACCTTAGATTGCAGTATGTGCTAGTAGTAATCATTGCAATTTGGAAAAGACCAAAATAATTGTTCTATTTGCCAAAGTTTCTTAAGCGTATTGAACTCAAGGTCTCCATGGTGCATAGCATCTCTGATCTCCGAATTTCCTGCCTGTGCCATTGCGTTTAAATCTACTTCCACTTTGTTGGAGTTTTCTTGGGAAGCCGAATCTCAAAGTTCTCATTCTTGCCCATCATTTGAGCAAGATGCATCCATCATCTTCTTGCACCGCACGACTCGTTAAAAAACATTTTTCATGTCCAAAATCTTAATAAAGTGAATCTCGAATGAATGGTATTAATAAATTACACGCATTTACTTCTTCCGATATTTTTATCATGTCTTATTTTAATATGGTTATGGTGTACGAAATATATATTTGTCGTTCGTCCTTTTGTAAATATCTTCAAAAATACTCATTTCACTTTGTGGGTGCGAGCATGAGCCTTCATCAGTTATTGATGACACTCTTCATTTTTTGATGCGATCACTATTTATTTAACTTATTGAACATTATTATAATTATTCTCAATTTTGATAAGTTCTTCCTTTGCCTGTCGTAATACTATATGTACGCCGAAATTTTCCACTATGTCGTAAAAAGTGTGATAGTTGTACAATAACTTGTTTGTCTCAACAATAAAGCAGATCAAATTTTGTGACGTTTTGCTCAACCCTACCCGCCAACACCTGCCACCGGGCACCGTGGAGAGCGGTGGTCGTCTAGCTACCGACAGTTTACCATTTGAAGAATCGTTGCCACGCTCGTCGCAGAGTTCTGACGGTTATCACACTTTTGTGGTCATTTATTAGTAGTGGCTAAAAATATAGCTATGTGATGCAGCCATCGTGCGCGGAAATTGAATATCTTCCTTGGGAGTTATCAACGCCGCTCTCAACGCAAGCAACCACAAACTTGGAAACTAGGTACGTAATTTTATCGGAACTCGAGGAAGTTTATGCGTAAGCTTTGGAACAACGTATTTTTTCGTTAACACCCTTAACTCTTAAGGGGAGCGTCTGGGGTAAAATTTATCTCGGCTATTTACAGACGGATCACTCTGAAATTTGGTACCATATGTAAAACAAAAATCTAAGACTTTATTGTTCATGTGAATTTTACGAAAAAAAATGAAAGAAAACGTGAAAATCTTAGAAAACGGCCAAAAAGGGAGTACCGTAGAAATCTATCTCCTAGGATTTTCAAGCTAGAACATCGCGACACATATCATTCGATGCGTAAAGACCATATCTAAAACTGAACACGGCGGTTTTTTGGATTTCTCATTTTTGTGGGTGTGGGAGCATTTTTCATAACTTTTTCGAAAATTTTTCGACTTCCCCCCCGTCACCCCCCCTTTTTGCGGAATAAAATCCAAACTATAACGAAATTAGAAAAACACCCGTGTTCAATTGTAGATAATTTTGTTGCGCATCGAATGGTATATGTCTCATTGTTGTAGCTTGAAAACTCTAGGAGGAGATAGGTTTGCAAGTCAGAAAAACGTAGGTTTTCAGGAGAGCTAAAAAACAAAATTTTTACGAAAATTTCAAAAACTGCGTTAAACATATATCGATATTACAAAAACGCATAAATCATTCTCTAGATCTTTTTTCTTGCGCATCCAATGGTATAAGTTTAATTGCTGTAGCTTGAAAACTCTGGGAGGAAATTGTATTTCAAAAAAATGAAAGAAAAAATATAAAATATTAACTCCTATCTAATTAGTTAAAGAACTCCCACACCCTCCCTCCTTTCATGATCTGTCCTGAACGCATAAATCAACGTACAGAGATGGTAATGGTACCGTTGGATAGGGCAGAATGTCAGCTTTAAGATGAAACTAAACGGGTAACTAAGCTGCACCTCAAGCAGACACTGTATTTAATGTGCTGGGAACCGAATTACCTCCTATCTAATTTGTTAAAGAACTCCCCCACTCTCCCCCCTTTCATGATCTGTCCTGAACGCATAAATCAACGTAAAGAGATGATTTTGGTACCGTTGGATAGAGCAGAATGTCAGCTTTAAAACGAGCCCAAAAACGAAAAAAGTGACAATTTTCGATTTTACCCCAGACGCTCCCCTTAAATGGCATCCTGATACTACGTCGCGTTTTATGCGCAATGGAAAAATATAATGCGAGCGCGGTAAATTCACATAATCATGGCTACGTGATGAACGCAGTACAACATTAGTAACGCGAACACACACAAGAGGCTTTTGAAGTCAACTTGCCTTTCGAAGTTCTCCATACATTTACGGTTAACGTATTCATTGCATTAACTAAAAACATTAAAATGCCTCATAGTAACGGCTTACACATGGCGACTGCTCGAAACTTGTCAAACAAAATCAGGGATCAACATCAGTCATCCGTCGAGAAGGTACATCAGAACTACACTTTAGGTACATCAGAAGTATACTTCCGTAATTGCAGTACCCCGTTTACTGTACTCTATTTAGAAAATTTCTTCCGAATTAACTAGACGGAATTGTTACCAAAATTTTATTAGATTCCCATCATAACTCAAACGCTACTGAATTACTGAACACTAAAAAGTTTCGCCAACTTCTCAATTTGACTTTACGAAAGGTGCAATTTGAAAAGATTCAACCTTCAAGCATTTATTGACCGATGAAAGCCATGATGCTGAGGAGTCGTTTAATCCAGCTGAAAAAGAAACATGAATTCATGTAAGTAATCTGTATAGTGAAGCTGCTTTACAGCCTCGAGGATAGTGAATAGTACATTATTAACAGCAATGCAGTATAAAGAAGTCCAATTCAAATCGGTAGACTAAAAAATAGATTTCAAGTGTAGGGAATAACCTCTTCATAGATACATATTATTTGTTTGCTCTTGGTTTTACCAATCCGATGTGGAATTGCAAATCGTCAGATGTGAAGATAAGAACACAAGTTTCAACAATCAAATGTGGCAACTTGTTCAACGAAAAATTCCGAAGCTGAAACGCAACTGAACACTAATATTGACTAAATTTCATCTTAAAAATGAAGTAAATTCAAGAAAATCACTAATTATTAAATTTAAGAGAATTATATTCGAATTTTATTTGCCAGCTCTCATTTATTGAACTCAAAAATTGTTAAGTTGATTGAAGTGAATGTTATTAGACGACGCCAACCTATTTATTTGGTGAACTTACATGCAATATTAAGAAGACTGTTTAGGGTATCAAGGATTTGCTATCAACACTTTTCTCAAAGAAAATATTGAGGTATATACCCAGAAGAAACTTTTGATGTTGCTAGTGTAAAAGCAAAATCGTCCTGGAAATGCGACAAAATTACAAAAAAAGCAACACTGAAACCATCAGGACTTTCTTCATTTGGGAGCCGTTAGATGCTGGTGCTTTCCATGGAATTTTAGCAGGGAGCACAAGTTAAAAAACTAATAAAACAGACCAATTTGAAGCAATAGATCACCAATAACAGCTCTGTTTATATAAAGTTATAAGTGATGTAAAAAAATAATGTTGGTGCTCAAGTGATCTGCACAGCCTGTTAGTAATACAGCTGGCAAGTCATATAAAAAGGATGAAGCACTCACCTTCTTGAAGCCAATGTCAGCAGCGTACTCTCTGAAGCACTGGCGGCACATCATGAGTCCGTACTTGCGGATAAGACCGTGACGGTTGGAGCAGGCCCGGCTGTAAATCAATTGCAATTAGAAAGTATAATAGAAGCACTAATACAACAAACCTTATAATTTTTAGCAAAGCCTGAGCTCTGTTCAACCAAACGCCAGAAATTTTTCTTGACGAACAATTAAGAACCTTAATGCTGGTGGCTGAACTAATTAGGAAGTAAATTGAGCTAGAATTGAGATTAAAGGTAAAAGAACTTCTAACCAAATCTCTTAAAAAATGTTCATGGCTGTAAACTGAGCTTTGGTGTTTACATTTGTTGACTATCAGTGTCAAAAAAAAATGCAAACTTATATACCATCGTAAATTTTAGCAAACCTACATCACACTCCTAAAAAGCATTTGAGGTATCTTTGAAGTCTTTAATGTCTTACAGACGTGAGGCACAGAAAAGAACTAAGGATTCTTCACATTAAGATGAAATCAATGGAGAGACGTGAGCCTAATGCACATGTGATGGAAGGTAGGAAAACTATTATACCACACCAATACACGTGAGGAAGACTAGATGCAGGCTATTTTGAATAAGCAAAAATATTAATGTGTACATTGCAGCATACAAAATACAGCAATTTGGGTAGTAGAAACATTAATTAAATAAAATTTTACAGAGTACAACAACCTGTAACTTTCTTCCAAGAATCCAAGTTATTCAGAATTAAGAAAGTGAAATAAAAAAAAGAAGGAGATAAATATATTCCTCTCTACTAAAATAGATGGTGTGATTCTGTCAATTTTTTCTTTTGTTTTGTGTTAGGGACATCATTATTGGAGAAATAAATCTGTAAGCATTATGTAGCTTTGCAAGATGGAATGTACAAAATTTATCCTTAGAAGGCAGTGTGCTAGCAGCTGATGACAAAGCTGAGCAGCTTTTCAATTGGGTGTAGACCATTAAAGCAAAGGGTGTGAGATCAAGTATGTTTTAATCCAATAAGGCAAATTCTTTCCTCATGAAAGTGATAAATTAATGGCTAATAATCTAAAGATAGCTCATCTGCTGACAACTTGTTAGATAATATGGTTATTGTAATTGAATTTATTCTGATTAGATGATTGAAAATTTTTAAAGCACTAACCATGTTGAGAATCCAGTGCAAGTGTGCAACACAATTGAAAACTTGTAGTAACATCAATGCAGTTATTTACATGCTGGAAAGGAAGATCAAGTACCTATTCAACTAAACATTGATCCCAAAAATAGCAATCCAATCTCAATTAATTAAAATTTATTCACCAGTGACAATAAGTTTATAGTTAACCATATCATACTTGAAACTAATAAAAAAAAATTTCAATGAAACAATAACTTTCATTAGCACTAGAGTTTAGAAATGCAAATCAAATGCTGTTCTTTGGAAGTTTATAGCACTTAGGATACCTGACATGGGTCTTGCATTTTAACCCTTTATGCCCTGGCGTGACGAATTTGTCACACAGAAAAAAAACCTTGGTTTTCCAACAATTTCACGTTTTCTGTCATTTTTTCGAAAAATTCACAAGAATAAAAAAAGTCCTAGATTTTTTTTTTACATATGTGTACCAAGTTTCAGAGTTATCTGTCGGTAAGTAACCGAAATAAAATTTCCAATTTCCAATCGCAATGTCCAATTTCTTATGGAAATTCTATTTCAGTTAATTACTGACATAACTTTGAAACTTGGTACACATATGTAAAAAATAAATCTAAGACTTTTTTGTTCATGGGAATTTTTCCAAAAAAGTGAAAGAAAACGTGAAATTCTTAGAAAACTGACAAAAAAGGGGTACTGTAGAAATCTATCACCTCCTATGATTTTTGAGCTACAACATCGAGACGCATATCATTCGATGCGTAAGGACCATATCTATCGATTGGTCCTTGCTGTTTTTCAAAATTCTAATTTTTGTGGGTGGGGTGGGCATTTTTCGAAAAAAATTGGTTTCTCCCCCCCCTTTTGAATTTCCCCTCCCCTTTTTTCAAAATATTTTCAAAACTATAACGA